CCCTCTAGATTAATGTGGCATTCAAATCTCGACACCGATTTTTTGGTCGAAATTCATGTCCAAATCTTACCCCAAGATTCGTATATAGACATGGGTCAAAATTTACCACCCCCATAACTCGGTCAAATCTCATCCGATTTTCACGAAGTTTGGCTTTTTCTTAATGTTTTTCCCTCTAGATTAATCTGACATTCAAATATGAACAACGATTTTTTGGTCGAAATTCATGTCCAAATCATACCCCAAAATTCGTATATAGACATGGGTCAAAATTTACCACCCCCATATCTCGGCCAAATCTCATCCGATTTTCACGAAGTTTGGCTTTTTCTTCATGATTTTCCCTCTAGATTAATGTGGCATTCAAATCTCGACACCGATTTTTCGGTCGAAATTCATGTCCAAATCTTACCCCAAGATTCGTATATAGACATGGGTCAAAATTTACCACCCCCATATCTCGGCCAAATCTCATCCGATTTTCACGAAGTTTGGGTTTTTCTTCATGGTTTTCCCTCTAGATTATTGTGGCATTAAAATCTCGACACCGATTTTTTAGTCGAAATTCATGTCCAAATCTCACCCCAAGATTCGTATATAGACATATGTACGTCAAACATGACCACCCCCATATCTCGGTCAAATCTCATCCGATTTTCACGAAGTTTGGCTTTTTCTTCATGGTTTTCCCTCTAGATTAATGTGGCATTCAAATATGAACAGCGATTTTTTGGTCGAAATTCATGTCCAAATCATACCCCAAAATTCGTATATAGACATGGGTCAAAATTTACCACCCCCATATCTCGGCCAAATCTCATCCGATTTTCACGAAGTTTGGCTTTTTCTTCATGATTTTCCCTCTAGATTAATGTGGCATTCAAATCTCGACACCGATTTTTTGGTCGAAATTCATGTCCAAATCTTACCCCAAGATTCGTATATAGACATGGGTCAAAATTTACCACCCCCATATCTCGGCCAAATCTCATCCGATTTTCACGAAGTTTGGGTTTTTCTTCATGGTTTTCCCTCTAGATTAATGTGGCATTAAAATCTCGACACCGATTTTTTAGTCGAAATTCATGTCCAAATCTCACCCCAAGATTCGTATATAGACATATGTACGTCAAACATGACCACCCCCATATCTCGGTCAAATCTCATCCGATTTTCACGAAGTTTGGCTTTTTCTTCATGGTTTTCCCTCTAGATTAATGTGGCATTCAAATATCGACACCGATTTTTTGGTCGAAATTCAAGTCCAAATCTTACCCCAAGATTCGTATATAGACATGAGTAAAAAATTACCACCCCCATAACTCGGTCAAATCTCATCCGATTTTCACGAAGTTTGGCTTTTTCATCATGGTTTTCCCTCTAGATTAATCTGGCATTCAAGTCTAAACACCGATTTTTTGGTCGAAATTCAAGTCCAAATCTTACCCCAAGATTCGTATATAGACATATGTCAAAAATGACCACCCCCATATCTCGGCCAAATCTCATCCGATTTTCACGAAGTTTGGGTTTTTCTTCATGGTTTTCCCTCTAGATTAATGTGGCATTCAAATCTTGACACCGATTTTTTGGTCGAAATTCATGTCCAAATCTTACCCCAAGATTCGTATATAGACATGGGTCAAAAATTACCACCCCCATATCTCGGCCAAATCTCATCCGATTTCCACGAAGCTTGGCTTTTTCTTCATGGTTTTCCCCTTAGATTAATGTGGCATTCAAATCTCGACACCGATTTTTTGGTCGAAATTCAAGTCCAAATCTTACCCCAAGATTTGTATATAGACATGGGTCAAAATTGACCACCCTCATAACTCGGTCAAATCTCATCCGATTTTCACGAAGTTTGGCTTTTTATTCATGGTTTTCCCTCTAGATTAATCTGGCATTAAAATCTGAACGCCGATTTTTTAGTCGAAATTCATGTCCAAATCTTACCCCAAGTTCGTATATAGACATGGGTAAAAAATTACCACCCCCATAACTCGGTCAAATCTCATCCGATTTCCACGAAGTTTGGCTTTTTCTTCATGGTTTTCCCTCTTGATTAATCTGGCATTCAAATCTGAACACCTATTTTTTAGTCGAAATGCATGTCCAAATCTTGCCCCAAGATTCGTATATAGACATGGGTCAAAATTTACCACCCCCATATCTCGGCCAAATCTCATTCGATTTTCACGAAGTTTGGCGTTTTCTTCATGGTTTTCCCTCTAGATTAATGTGGCTTCAAGTCTAAACATAGATTTTTAGTCGAATTCATGTCCAAATCTTACCCCAAGATTCGTCTATAGACATGTGTCAAAATTTACCACCCCCATAACTCGGTCAAATCTCATCCGATTTTCACGAAGTTTCTTTTAGACTTGCGAGCAGCTATGCAGCTATGAAACTATTGTATTTTAAAAATGGACTGTCATCGAGAACAATTAAGATATTGTAGGTTGTGTCAAAGGTTGGCATCTAATCCCTGGTATTCCTCTCGGTTCCCGAGTTCGGTTCATAGATGTAGAAGTGACTGTTCAAGCCGGTTGGAGATAATACAAAGTGACATTTTCAACTCTTGGGCTGCGATTAATGGAACTGTTGACAATCGGGCAATAGGTCTGTAGATTGTGACTTGCAGGCTATGGAATATGTTATATGGTAGACCTTGACCCAAGAAATGTAAGAAAATAAGAAAAAATAGGGAAAATGTATATAATTAGATTCCTTCAGCTCGACGTAGGCCAGAGGAATTGACTCGAAATGTTAGATAGTCGGACCTCAGTGAAATAAAGAAAACGTAAGCCAACTAAATGGAATTAAGTATGAAAGTCTGCTTGTCTTACGAATGTTGGGATGCTACACATATTAGGTTCACGGCTAATAGGATTTAATTTGCATGCGAGAATAGTAAATATTGTGGGCACAGCGCAAAAGTTGGAATCTAAACGTGAAATGCTCATTAATTATTCCAATTTCCGCCAGCTTATTCATTTATGATGAGCAATCACTGCGTGTGTGTGTCTGTGTATTTATTGGGTATATTCATTGCCAAAGCTCAAATCGAATGCCAGCTAATTCGTCTGCGAAAATCTGCACAAAAGCGAAAACCATGAGTTCGGGCTACGCCCACTAAGTACTTATGCATTTAGTTGGGCCCTTATGTGGCGGCACTTTCCACGCTTTTGTGTGCGGCATTTGGGCATTCTATATCCTAGCTACTGCCAGGAAGGATGTTATAGAATTCTCACGAAATGTGTAAGGCACAAAGGAAAGTCATATTCGACTCGTAAATGCTACTAGCTTCCTTTTTTAACCTTAAGCTTGCCGGTTTGAATTCAATTTGTGCAATTTTTTATTATAATGACCAGCAAGGCATAATATATAAATAGATAGAAAATTAATGTTGTTTGCATAGCTATTGCAAGAGCTGGAAGTGTTTTAATCAGTAGACTTTGGTATCTGCCTATCAAGTCTTCAACCGGAAGCGTCAAATTAGTGCAAGAACTTTTTGGTCTTATAACCAGCAGACTTTGCTATCTCCTTCTGATATATCGTGTTCAATCTTGTTAATTACGAATTTAAGTATGTAACTTACATCTGATCCAAATTTGACTACTTTATCGCAGAGTTCTATTAGAAAAATCGGACATACGAGAGGTTGTTGTATTAAAAGTTTTCTGTTCTTCAAGACATCTATATATATATACTTTTCCCCTAACATATCGGTCTACAATATGGCTTCTTAGGGAACTAGCTAAGCTTTTGCCTAGACACACTTCTGGCTTATATTTTTTTAAGGATATCCAATCTTCGGCGTACCTAAGTTCATTGATGTTTTATATATTTTTTTGGTCGGCTGGCCGTTTGGGGTTTTGTGACCTTTTGGAAGCCGCTTAGCTGTCGGAGCATAAATTTTGTTAGCAGACTCGCAGCTCGAAGTTGCGAAATCTGAAAATATCAAAAAACTTTCATTTGAAATGTGAGGGTGTGCGTGTGTGCGTGTGTCCGTGTGCGTGTACATAGTTCTAGTCTGTTAAGCCCCTTTGACATGCATCCCCCTGCCAACGTTAGCCAGCTTGGCTTGCATTTCATTTTGCATAAATTTACGAGTGAGCTAAAATACGAGCACTTGGCCAACATTTTTGCTATATAGCCATATTTGTTTTAACACTTCAATGTGTGCGTGTGTGTGTGTATGTGTGTGTGTGTGTGCTGTGTCTGTGTGTGTGTGCCAATTGACACTCAACGTGGCCAGCAAACGTGGTCAGTGCCGAGGCAACTGTTGAAACTCGTTGAAAGATTTGAGCACTTTCAAATGAATAACTTTCACTCTCGCCCATTCAACATTTTTGGACAAACTTTTAAGTTTTATAGCGCATTGATGGGGTTAGTGGGGGTGGGCGGTGGGTGTCAAGGGGCGCGTTGAAGTGCCGTTGAGACCTTAAACAGGGTAAACATTAGGGTAATAAGCTATGATGGCTTGACTTACAGGCAACTTAATGAGGACTCTTAGGCCATGACTGTGTGATTGGCTTGTACGGTCGATAAGAGAGTGTGATGCTGGGCAGTGCCTAATTCTAGACCATAAGTTTGTATATATGAAAGAACTAAACGATAATTCGTGCCAAGGTCCTGCTTAATATACATTTATTATGTACATTTAAATGAATCTGTAAGTGTGGAAATGCTTATTTAAGAGAAAAAGAGAGAGATAGAGAGAGAGAGAGAGAGAGAGATAAGGAGAGAGACAGAAAGACTTGTTTATACAACATTTACATATACAATAAAACCGATTACATGAATTCATGAGAATCACAAAGAACGGCGCTTTTAAAAATACGTTTAATTCTATTTAAGGACATTTTTAATAAAGTACACCAGCATTCAGAATAAGATACCACATATAGCGGCTATTCCCTGACCATATAAATGCCTTTAAATTTCAAAAATCAAATTTCTATAAATTTTACGCACTTGCAAAAAAAGTTAACTTAACAAAAACTGAGTGGCCTTGTGCCTATCAAAATGCTGGCCACATTATCCCTAAGCATTGGACTCATTGTGCGCTGCTTCTCTAGGCTGACCGGCTGTGCATGGGCCTGCGAGAGCTGATAGAGATCCGCATAGTATTCCATGCCAGCAATGCCCACTGCATTGAAGCTGGCCGACACTTCGGTGCAGTCAATAATTGAGGTCTTCAGGGGTGTGACCAGCAGCGTGGAGTAGTAGGGCACCTTCTTGCCCTCGAGGAGCTCTCTGATTAGCAGCACAGCAGTGCGAGAGCCCGCTAACAAATTCCAACGGGACCAGCTGAAGTTGTGGGACAGTGCCAGGGTCGAAATGCAGGCATATGTGTGCATTTCCATTACGTAGTTCTTCTCGCAAGAGCCCTCCGTGTAGCAGAAGGCATCCTCATCTGGAAATATGTCCACGGCTGAGAGAATAAGCGTCGCCTTTAGCTCGGCCAGGGACAGTGTCTTGCCAAGCATTTCCGTAATGCCCTGCGTGCTACCGCCCTGAAAATTGTGCACAGTGTAGCCCGCCTCGGTGATGGTCATCTCCAGGCTGATCAGCGAGGCGGTGAAGCTGAAGAGTATGGTTCCCGGACTGCAATGGGAAACCAACTAAATGAACTGAACCAAAATTTGCATATTTGTGAGATACTTTTTCATATCTGGCCGCAGATCCCAGGTTTGATAGGGCATATTGCTGTACTTGTTCAGGGCGAAGCCAAAGATACCTTTGGATGATATAGAAAACGATAAAGGCGAAACGGTTAATGAGCTCAATAAGTTGCCTTTGTGAACTACATAAAGATTACTAGCGGGTATAACCCGGATGCCAATTCGCTCTAGAGGACAAACCATGATACGCCAAACCTCATGAAAATCGGATTAGATTTGACCGAGTTATTGGGGTGGGAAATTTTGACCTATGTCTATGTAGGATAAGATGTAATTGTTAGGAACTAATGCTAATTAAATAACAATCTAACCAAGTCGGCCCGTCCGAAACTGTATGGATAACTTGTCCTCGTTGAACTTGGTGTCGTGGACGTCGCGTGTGCTCCACTTGCCCTGAGTAATGGCTGCCGTGCTGCTGAGCTTTTGTCTGCGACTAGTGAGGAGATGAAGGCACAAAAGAGAGAGGGAGACAGAGAGAGGGAACAGGAAGGAGAGAAATAGAGAGAGAGAGAGCGAAATAGGGAGAGTAAAAGAGGAAAGAGAAATAAAGTGGACAAGGAAGAGTTTCAGGGAAAGAGAGAGAGAGGGAGAAAAGGTGGGATAGAGAGGGAAAGAAGAAGATTAAGAAAGAGAAGCAGGGAGATAGAGAGTTAAGAAGGGAGAGAGAGTCAGGAGGAAGAGAAGAGAAGACGGAAAGAGAGAGAGAGAGAGAGAGAAATGGAGGAGCGTGAGATGGCTTAGAGATTTAGAGATCAGATTAACCCACGCTTCGCTATCGCAGTTGTCGCTGTTGCTGTTTCTGCTCAGCAATTGGGGCAGGGTGCCGCCCGCTGAGGATTCGCCGACGTCGCCGCCGATGCCGCCCTCGAGCAGCTCCAGGAGGCTATCATCGTCGTCGTCGTCATCGTCGCTGCTCTCCTGGCTGCCCGCTGATTTGGGTGTCGTCGCCGGCTCTGGCTGGGCGGGCAGCTGGTTGTCGCGAATGAATGAGATGCCCGTGTAGTAGGCAAAGGCAGCAGCCGCTGCGGCTGGCTGCAGCACCTCGACCAGCTCCTGGCTAAGTGGACGCAGCTCATCGGACAACTGCTGGTTGACATCCTGCTCTGAGCCGTTGGGCGTTAGCTGCTCGGAGATTTGCTGCAGCATCTCCTCCTGCTGCTCGCGCGGCAGCTGCATGCGCCACAGCCGATCCATATCCTCGATCAGCTGCGAGAAGAGATAGCAGCTGCTGGGCATCACCGGAGGCGGTCGTGCTTGGCTGCGGAATTTGAGCAGCTTGTCAAAGCAGAGCGGCGGAAAGAGCTCCGCCGGCTCCCCGGCATCCAAGAACTCAGCGCCAATGCCCAAGCTGGCCGCTGGTCGTGCGCCGTTCGCCTCAGCTGGCGTTGCCTGACCTGCCACTTGACCCAGTCGCACGTGCGTCTGGCGCGCCAGGAACATGACCTGCCGCTGCGGCTGGCCGCTGCTCGATGGCGGTGTCTGCTGCTCGAGCCGCACGCAAAAGCCTTGCGGCAGGCGCGGCACCACGAAATCCTTAACCAGTCCATATAAGTCCACATTGCTGGGTATTGCGCGCAGGTCAAAGTCGCCAATCTCGCGCAGCGTCTGCGTTTGCAGTGCGGCCAGGTCGGATTTCTGGGAGCGCATCTTGGCCGGACCGCGTGGCGAACTCTTTAGCGGACTGGGCTGTGCGTTTGTCGAGAGCGGTGTTGCCTCTGTGGGCGTGGCTGTGGTGGCCGCCGCTGTCGCCGATGCAGCTGGATCCGGCTTAACGCCATCGGTCAGCTGCGATTCGAGCGTTTCGATGTCTGTCTCCCAGCGACAAGCGATCGGGGGCTCGAACCATATGACCGAATCAGGCAACCTGTGAGGATAGTATAGTGAAAGTATAGGTTATTCGATGTAAGGAGTATTAACCTGGACAGGAGGAAAAGTGCTCGACTGGACGTTACTCTGTAAACATTTCTGGTTCATTTCAGCGAATCGCTTCAATCGCCCATTTTCGAGCCGTTCCGTTTATTTACTCACTCGTTCAATCAATCAGCTACTCTTGAACGCTGCATTCTGCTCAATTAATCAGTCAAAGAATACGCGTAGGCTTATAATTCCCAACTGGTAATAGTTCCCATCTGGCGTCAGCTTGTGTCTGGGGCTTAGATTGCTTGGTATATTGCCAGAATTTATGGCCAAGTACTTACTGTAGTGTGACTAGCGCGAGCTTGTCCAGCGCCGCCTCGATCATGCGCATCTCAGCCTCAATCTCCTCGGGCAGGCGACGCACGCCGGGCAGCACCGGCGGCGGCGGCTTATAGGTCTGATAGTAATCCTTGTGCACCAGACTGTTGGCAACTGTGACTGCAATCGAAAGCTGCATTAGGCTGCGACTAGCTGGACGGGTTACGTACTGGTGCGTATGAAGGAGCGCGCATTGAGCTGTTTGTCCTGCTGCGGCGTCTCCAGGAAATCGATGCAATAGACGCCGCCAATAATGCGATACTTGCGCAGGTTGACATCTGTCTCGAGCATGCCGTATGCCTCCGGTCCGATGGCACGACGACGCGCCTTATTCAGCTCATCCTCGTACTGGGCATAGAGCTTGTCCACATCGTAGCTGCGCTCACGCGGCGGCTGCGAGCTGGCCGAGTGCTGTTCCTGTGTCAGCTGCTCCAGCTCGGACAGTGGAATCTCACGGGCGCACTCGTCCAGCATCGACTGCAGAATCTCTTTGCGTTTGCGCCATTCGCGTTTTGTTTGCCGTAAAATAGCTGGGAATTAAATTGATCAAGATATCGTGAAAAGCACATAGTTTCTATACAATACAAGAATTTTATTAGTGACGGATCAATACTATGGAAGATAACTGATATAGAGGTCTGTTCCGCTCGAATCCGGCAAATGTACTGAAAGACGAACCTTTCATGAGAGACAGACGAGACAGACGTCTGCTACTATGCAATTATTTGATTACTCTCAAAAAATGAACTGCTTTTGAATGGATTTCAATTTTGAAAGCTATTTAAACCCGTTTGAGCCCATTTGTTTTTTTTTTATATAGTTCCCTGTATTGGCAGCGAAGCGTTAAAGCACTTACTGGCATTTTGGGAGCGTGCATGCCTCAGCTGGAAGCTGCTGCAGTAGTCGCTGAAGTGATCGTAGTTAAGCCAAAGACCGCGCAGCGCCGAGCTCTGGAGGCGCACGGTGGGCGGCAGTGAGATGTTCATCTCGATGGTGGGGAAGTCGATCTCGTTGTGGGCCGATTGTTCACCAATGCGAGCCTTGGGATTGACAGCGCTGTGGAAGAGAGAGAGAGAGAGAAGAGAGAGGGGGAGAGCAATTGTACAATTAGTGTTAAGGGAAGGAGAATGCAAGAAATAGAAGAACAAGAGATCAATTGCATTTGAGGCCTCACATCTGGGCATCCTTGGAGAAAGTCCAAACGAAGCTCTGGAAGACATCGGAATTGTAGATGTGCTTCGAGACGCCGGGTCGATCGATTCTGCAAAGGGAAGGGATCAGAGCTAAATGCTTTCGCGATTATCTAGGAGCTACTCACTCCATGTCGCGCTCAATATGCGACATTGTCTTGTAGGTGAACTCGTCCAGATGCTGTTTGAGGAACACACGCATCTCCGTCTTCAGCTTCACCAGATCGGCGGCAACATGAGCCGACCGGGACTTGGTGTATCCCAGCGACTCGTCCAATTCGTTGAGAATCTGTTGAATAGTTGGCCTGTCCAAATGCTTAGCCCTGGTCAAAGTTCATGCAGCTTACCCCCAGCACCTCCTTGAGGCGCTGTGCATAGACATCGCCGAGATTGCCCTGTTGCTGCCGCAGCGAGACGCGCGTCAGATCCGGCACATGGGCGTCCTGGGTGAGAAGGGTGCGCTCATCGGTGCGCAGCAGCCAATTGCGTGCCTCCAGCTGGCGTTGCGCAATATCCGCATGCCATTGATGGATGTACTTGCGCAAATCACTCGGACTGGCCGCATTGGGCAGCCCGTTGCAGCGCATGAACTTCTCCCACTCGCACTGTTGCCGCTCGCCCGCCTTGATGGCCTCGATGGTGGTGTGCACGGCATCAAAGAATCTCATGCTATCCTTTAGCTGGCCCCGGCGCAGACGATTCTCGGCGACCTCCTGCTGCTGCCGATGCTTAGCCTGCTCCATTTCTAGCTTCTTGCGCTGACGCGCCTCCTCCAACTTTTTAAGTCTCAATAGTAAGAGGGAAGACAACGGGTTAGCGGGGTTATTTTATATAGAGGATATTATGATGTGTAACATAGAAGGGGACATCTACCGAATCGGTAAGGTATGCATATTCCACTTCCCTTTCGGCAGTCAAGTCGATGTCCGTCTGTCTCTTGGTCTTAAGACCATATAGCCGAAACCTCGCCTAGGCCTAGGTCAATATATTGGAATCCCACATCTTTTGCTTGGATATATTTGTCGTTGCTCAGGATATCCTGAGCTATAACAGACTATTTGGTTAGTTTGGAAGCAATCGATCCTAAATGGAGGATTGAATCTTCGGCATGCCAAAGAATCTTTCTTATATATAACATATTTTCTTTGGGCCTCAACTAACTTTTCCTTCTCCATCTCAATGCGCAGCAGCTCGGCCTGTTCGGCCTCGAGGCGCGCCTTCTCCTTCTTCGAGAGCTTCTTCTTGGGTGGCTGCAATTAAATTTGATTCAATTATTAACTCTATTTAATATAATATATTTAATATGGCTCAAGTGCCACGCCCAGCTACCATTTGATGTTATGTCAATTGCCAATTGCCACAAAGTTGCAACTGGCTGTGCAACAGCCATGTGGCTATCAACTTGCCAGTTATTGATCCAACGTGTGGCAACTATGGCAACAACCAGTTGTTGCTGCTGCTGTTGTTGTTGCTGCTGCTTTTGTTTTCCTTTACTGTTTTCTGCTGTTGCTAAGCTCGGCGCCTAGCTAATCCCTTTGCCAACGCACACCTGGTCACCGCAAAGCGTCAAACAGCTCCGGCTGCAGCATCAGCTTGAGCGGAGCTCCTCTTGGGGCAACGGCGACGTCCCTTAATTAAATATTCCTTTGGGGGCCACAGCTTAGCGCCCTTTAACATTTTCCGCTCATTTTCAACTTTGCCAGCTCTAACAGTGCTGAGTGATGGGATGGGAAGGGGGGGGGGGGCGTGGCGCTTGTGGTTACCATAACGGAGGCTTCACTGGATTTGCACGTCATGCCCTTGCGGCTTGAGCTGGTGCCAGGGATCAGCAGACGATAACTTGCCAACGTGCTGCTTCTCACTTTGGTGTCCCCATTGGTCAAGCACAAGGTGTCAACGGCAGCTCCGTTGTAAATTATTGAGGAGCACAGAAAAGTGCTTCAGTCAGCAGGTTGTCGACTTGGATGTACCCTGTAGCCGTAGCCGAGCTGCTGTTACAAACTTTCTAGCTCTGTAATAGGCAGAAGGAAGCTTCTTCTAGCACATATATATTATATATATATTCGTTTTAGTATAACCGCGATTATTACCCGGCCTTGCCCGGGCAAAGCATTTTGTTTCAAATGCGACTCATGTCTCAAGCTTCATTTTAAGAAGATATTTAGAAATGAGTTTGATGTTTTTCAAATTAAGAAACAACAGTTGGAATTGATATTTCCACCCAATTCAGTGAAATGTGAAGACGAACAAACAATTTCCGTTCATATAACCTTTGACATGCGTTGTTTAACCAGAGTTTACGATATGTGTGAAACACGTCTTAAATGAATCACAAATATATTTGAAAATTAGTTTCAAGCCTATCGAATGTTAAGCAAAAAAGTTGTATGTCATCGTTTTTCACGAGTTTTCCACATTTGCGCGTGGAATTCCAACACATCAGATAACTACATTTTGGTCAAACAGGACAAACCGTTTTCTATACATACATATTTTGGTAATATTTTAAGAATTTTCTTTCTAGATATATATAAATCAAATTTAAAAGGGACATGGAATAATTTGATAAAGTGCAACGTGTTACGCAATTAATAAATCTGCTAGGATGATAAATTGGGCGTCTGCTTTCGAAGAGTTTCAATCAGGATAAATGTTTTGTGCTATGCACGCGATTTTCCGCTGTTTTCCAGGATTTTCCACAATTCTCCATTCTGTGACAAAACTTTGTCTGCGCTCTGAACTCGCTCTGAGCCCCTTGGTTTCGGCACTCTGATTCGGGCGTTGTCATAGGTCCTGCTCCGTGTTTTGCTATTTTACGCCTAATTTAAACTTTTTTTTGTTGTTGCTTGCCAGCTTTTTGCCTGAGATTCGCCCGCCCCTTGCCCTACCGCCCACATGGTTGTCGCTTCAGATAGCATTAACTTTGCCAGCAGCAGCAAGCTGGGGCCAGGTGGCAACGATGGCTAATTACCTGGCAATTTAAATAGCAGGTCAGAGCCTCTACCGCTCCGTTGCCAGCTCGCATTTCACATTTCTCGGCTAATTGCCGCGTGCGGAGGCAACCTCCGCGGCTTATCAATTTAATGTGCAGCCTTTTGGGGTAGCTGCCACAGCAACCGATTGCAGCAGCGACAAAGTCAACTGCCAGCTGCCAGCATCATATCTGTGGCAATTTCTTATGTCCCAGCAGAGGGTATTATATTTTTGTCGCAAAAGTATTTATACACTCGTGATACAGTATCAACAAGCGAGTCGCGTCTGTCTGTCTCCCAGCTTGGGACTTGGGTTGCGCTACTCCTGCCCCGAAATGTACTTCTGAAGATGATCAACTGTTTGTGCTGTTCCCAGGTTATCTTGACTAAGAAGCTGGGTACTTTCCAGTTTAACTATGTCATATATCTGTCTAGGTAAAATCGTTTGAGAAATATCCTTATGTATGGCAAACTTTTTGCGAGCTTCAAGTGTCTAGGAGGGCATTTACACTTCGGCGTGCCAGAGATGGCCGTTTCTTTCCTGTATTTTCCTTTGAAGGTTTCACAGCAAAAGCAGCTTAACAGCTGTGAAATACTTTTGCCAACATGCGAAGGTTGCACCGCAGAGTGGAGATTAATTAGTGCTATTATTAACAATTATTATTATTAACTTCAGTTTTATGCGAAGAGCAAAAATGCCTTCATATAAAAGCTTACAGTCCATTTAATTATAGCTTGGCACAGACAAAGGTATTAACCGTAACAGTTGGTTAACTTAATGAATAAAATAAAGCTGTGACTTTTTGAGAATTGTTCAACAAGAATATTCCTTTCCCAAAAACCTCAAAGCATGGCACATAACAGGCCTTTTACACATGTAACATTTAACAGCGCACTGTTAACCCTTAACAGATGCACAATAGCATTAACAGTTACTGTTAGATAGAAAGAACAGATAAATTAAACTTTGAATAATAAAGAAACATTTCGTTTTCAATTTTAGAGGCACTTCAAACTCTAACATGTGTATGTTAAGTTTAACAGCTGTTAGTGACTGGGTGCTCAAATAAAAAATTCGTTAGTAATGTTAACAAAATAAGTTGTCTTCACGTATGTTAACATGTTCATATGTTAAAAAGAGTTTAAACATAACTAAGTAAAATTGATGCTGGCAATATAGGTAAAAGTTTAATGGTCAGTTTATGTTTTTCTGATAACAGCAACATTAACATGTGCAGCATAATTTTACGGGGTTAAGTGTTGGTCAACGGGAAATAATTGCATAAAAGTGATAGCAACATTCATTTTCCATTACAATAAAATGTTGTAAAATGTGAAGTAGCTGAAATCATGCAACATGCTCAAAAGTTTGCATAGTTGAAAATAATTGCAGCGCAAATTTGATTTATTGCGAGCAGCTGCAGTTGTTGTTGCCGTTACAGATGCCATTGTAGTTCTTGTTTTTGTTGGTCATGGCTTGCCCTGGCTCTGTGCTTCAAAAAATATGGCTGCCGCGGGCCATGAAGCTGCGGCCAGCGGATAATCCGCGCTGTAAGCTGTGACAAAGCTGCGCCAGCTGCCAACTCCCCCAGTTTACATACACATACACATATGTATTAACGTACACATATGACATCCCTGCATATACGGTATATATATATGTGCATGAAAAAATCCCGTTGGCATGCCAATAAATGATAAAGCCGCATGCGTAATTAGCTTCGTTTTGGGCACGCACTTGAGCGAGTTTTGCTTTTTCTTCTCGCTGCTATTTATTTCAATTCATTTTGTGATACCCTGAACACATTATCAAGGGGCATATTGCTTGTGTGCAAGTGCATGTGACAGGCGAAAGGAGGCAAATTAAATTACATATACGTTTATATATATGTCAGGCATGCTTCCGATCAGCATCAACAGCCAATTCGATAATTCTTTAATCTATAATTTTCCATGTATGATTTAGAGACTTAAGATTTTGAATTTAGGGTATCAAGAGAAGATCGTGTCAATTGAGAATACAGATCTAGAATACCTTAGATACCCTAAAAATTGTTAGAATGAAAAAAACATATTTTGTATGTTAAAGTCGTGAGCTTTGATACTTACACACATTTCTGTACAGTATGCAAATCCTTAAAATTAAAAAAAAAAAAATCGTACAATAAATACCGAAGTTTATCAAGAGTGCATTTCCTATAAAGAATGCATTTCCAGTCGCAGCTCAAGTTGCTTGTGTGTGTGTGTGCTAAATTCAGGGTATTTTTTAGTCGAGCTATCCCGACTGGAGCACTCGCCTTTTGTGCGTGTGTGTGTGTGTGTGGGTGTATGTATTGCTGTTGCTGCCACAAAGACGCAAGCTGCTGAAGCGTTTGCTTGACTAGTGGCTGCGGCGTCGACGTCGACGGCGGCAGCGGCAGCGTCGTTGCTGCACAATAAAAATTTATCATACGCACCGTTGACGTTGACAGATCGTTGAGCTGAAGCGTTGGCGACAGACGACAACCGACAGGCGACACGCAAACAAACGACAAGCGACAAAGGACAAACGACAAACGACAAAGGACAAAGGACAAGCGCAACAGCAGTTACAGTCATGGATACATCTGCTCCGCTCAGTTGCGTTCTGCTGTTTTGTGATGTGATGCGATGCGATGCGATGTGTTCTGTTGTGCTGTGCTCTGATGTGATGTGATGTGATGTGATGTGGTGGCAGCTTCTCACTGAATGCGGCACGCTTCAGCGCACTTTGCAATATGACGAAAATTTTGTGAATACAATATAAATGCGCTCTGCTCTTCGGTCCCGTCCTGTCCTTTGCAGCAGTTGAGCTTCAGCTTCAGCTCAACTGAATTGAGCTGCGGCTCAAAAGTAGCTTAACCCAAGTTGATGCAATTTGTGCTTGATAAAAGCCATTTTCAATTTTTATTTTTCAATGCTTGCGTGTTGTGTGTGCATGCTTAGTTATTATGTTCTTTTATTTATTGTCATTATTTTTTCTTTTATGCTCCTTTCAATAGTGAACAATTTGCACCTATCGCAGCGAATTAAAAGCATTCAGTCGCGAGCGCTTTGCATTCGCTTAAGCATGAGAGATTTGCTTTGCTTTGCTGAGCGCAGCATGTAAAACGTTTCGGTATGCGACACAAAACACAATTGCTAAAGAATATGCTCACGAGAGCGTAAGAGCTTAAGAGGGAGAGAACGTGATGCATGCACTTTATTATCCGTATTAAGTTAGGAGAAGCATCCTCTTGATATCTGTATAGATATATGCACATAATAAATTGCGTTTGATAAATGCCTCACAGACTTCGTAAATTAGTCCACGCACTGTGAGAGTGCCGCAATTTATACTATATGTGAACACACATTACTTGTGCTGCCTAAAAAAAAAGTACATTTCTTAAGAATTTCTCCATTTTCGTTGCTGTCGGGTTAAGGCTGTAGCATTGCAGTCTCCTCAAGCCAATTCATCTGAAATTTTCGTGTATTTTTTTTTGTATACACTCGCAGCGAGTACATAGACTCATTTACAAAGTCTGTAAGGCGTTTGCCAAATACAATTACACACATGCACGTGAATTAGGCATATTTTCGTTTTCCAACTATCTGAACTGAACGCTCAATTAATGCACAAGTTATCGATAACTCACAGAAATACAATTAATCATATGCATATATATTCTTGAGAGCGATATTTTGGTCTTTCGATCTGCCAACTATCCAAACTGAGCTCTTAAATATCACAAGTTATTGATAGCATAATTATACCAGAGAGTAGTTGGAGATATTTTGGCCTATCGACTATTTGAGCTGGGCTCTTAGCTTTCACAAGCTATCGATAACTCACCTTGTTAGCACAAAATCGATAAGAATCGATATCAAAGTGTTGTATTGGAGCATATCGCTCAGCGTATAGAAGCTAAAGACACCAAATAGAGTTGGCAAACTCTTCCCAAGATATAGCTCACATTTTGTATACATTTCTCGTAGCTGGTCGCAGTGTATCAGCCCGTCGGGCACGCCCAACTAGAACACTCTCGCTCTTGATATTCATGTGCTCTGTGTGTTTTTTTTTGTCAGCTGCTTGACAAATTACTGCTCGCATGGTTGTCCAGATGTTTCGGCTGGAGGCCGAAGGCTGTAGCTGATGTGGCTGCTGCGGCTGCAGGCCTGGAGAATTGCCAGCCAGTTAAGCAGGCATCTTGCCAGCGGCAGTCACACGCACACACACACACGCACACACGCACGCTGAGGCAGATTCACACAAGTGTAACGATTATTAATTACAGTCAATTTACTTTAATATGCATGCGGCTCTGGCTGTGCGTGTTTGCGTGTGTGTGTGTGTATGTGTGTGCTGCCAAGTGTTGACGTTGCCCGTTTCCAGCTCTTGGCCCTATTTTATAATTATGTAGTCTCCGACTGTGGGCAACCAACTGACCAAAGGAACAAGACCAATCCGAACGCCTCTCGGCCCAAAGGCTGAGCACGCAGAACGCATTTCTGTTTGTTTACCCTACCTCAACGGAAAATGGGTGGAAAGGTGAAAGGTTGAACGCGTCTTTCACGAAGTTAAGAAGAAATAACTCTGTGTGGAGGCTAGATTGTTTGTAAGAGTAGCTGGGCACTGGGCTTTGAGTATATCAAGGTTTTTGTTTATTTTTTTTTTTTTTTTTTTAATGAAAGAACTCTGCGTGTGTGTGTGTGAGGAAGCTAAAATGACTCTAAAGGCAGCTTGGCACTAGGCATAGGGTATCTCATAGTCGGCCTTTCCCGTTCAGAGCACGCTTGTACTTGTTCTTTTTTGGAAGGAAGAACTCTTAATATGCTTATGGCGCAATGATGGCACTGCAAACGTACACACGCACACATATACACACCCGCACACACATAAACACACACACATACTCACATAACGAGACACATATACACACACACACACATCTCCTCCGTATGCCACTTAGAAATCGACTATTTCTTGCAGCCAGCTGCTGTCAGTTTCTGGTTTTGGCCGTTGCAACATTGACAACCCACTCTATAGGACAGCCTTCGGCTCCGTCTCCGTCTCCGCCTTGGCTTGATTTCTTAATGCTTCATCCTGCCATCTACTGCCATTATGTTTTTCTTGCTGATGAAACTGTCAGTTTAGTTTGACAACTGCTTATATAACTGTGAACGTTGATGTAATGGAGGCGTCTTTGGGCATATCTGAATCTGATCTCAAAAATAAAAATAAATATATTGAGAGCTTTTAGTATGTAAATAGTATATATGATATAAAGTAGACCAACTGAAGGTATAGCCTTGGGGTTTAATTTATACACAGATTTGATTGCTAATGTTATGCTGTGGAAGCTCTGTAAAGAGGTTTATTATCGCCTCTGAGTTAATCAAGCATTTATCATACATAGTCTGAGGCTGAGAGTAGAAGAAACACAGCACCTGTGTGTATATATATATGCATATGCACCCATGCAAAGAAGGTTTCAGGGTATCTCTGAATCGGATACTTGTTCAATCAAATGTTTGTGGGATCAGAGCATGATAATATATATATATATAAGCTTGACCTCGAACTAGTTACCTATAAACTTTATGTTCAACCTCGTTTGTTTTGTCAAACATTTAATTTTGCTGTTTGTTTGTGTTTTTTTCCAGCTGCTGCATATGCCGGATATCATATTCATATCGCCAAAACAAAGGAGAGGAAATTAAAGGAATACGTTGAAAGCAACAGCAATGATAAAAACAAATAAAATAATAATAAGGTGCAGGGTCAACTAAGTTGCGAATATTTAATAATTTTTTAGACAAATACTCAAACGAATAAGCAACAACAAGAACATAAAATAATAATAATAATAATAAAAAAAAAAACCAAAACCAAAACAAACCAAGGCCAGCCACAATTTAGCTAGAGACATATGAAAAAAATACAAATTAAACAATAACAAATACTTAACAAGCAAATATACAACAAATTACAGCAAGGCAATAATATTTAATAACTCAAAAAAGAAAAGAAAAGAAAAACCAACAAATAAAGGATAATTACGATTAACTAAATTGTTTAAGCGCAACTTATGTTTCAGTAGAAGACGAACAGCAACAACACAAGAACACTTAACAATAATTAGCATTAAATGGTTAACAACATGAAAATTAATTAATTAATAGTTACAAAAAAACAAAACTAATTGAAATAGTTAATTACAAAATATGAAAAACTTATTTCAATTGAATTAAAACCAATTTACGCCATTGTGATTCTTAATTTTAGACATTATGCAAAACAAAAAAAAACCAAACTAAATAAGGCCCAAGAATAAAACACAGTCAAATTGCAATTCTTAACGCAAAACCAAAAAAACAAAATAAAAAAAAAACACAAGAATGCATCTTAACAAAAAGCTTTAAATAAAAAAGTAAAGAAAACACAAATCGAGCCAAACAAAAAAAAAAAAAAAAAAAGTTAATGACCAAAAAGCCGCAAAGCTTGAAATGCTGTAAGAAAATCCGCATAAATTCAGTAAAGGCAAACAGAATAAGTTGGGAAAATTCGAAGAAAAACAGCAGCTAGAAGAAGCAGCAGCACACACAAGCCAAGAACGCAGAACACAGAACGCAACGCCAGCCGCCCACAACAACAACAACAACAACAACAAGAACAACAACAGCAACAAGCAACAAATTGTAACGATTGAATTAGCCCGGCCAGAACAACAGGAAGAACAGTTAAACCACAATAAACTCGGAGTTGAATTCCATCCAAGATATCAAATTTTATGGGCTATGCGATTATGAGCGCGTCCTGAAAGTATGCAACAGAAATTTTGATGCTGCTGCCAGCAACCGCAGCAACCGCAGCAACCGCAGCAACAAAACGGCTTAGCTTTGGCCTGCTCTCCCCTTGAACTTCGCGTCGCTTACAATACTGCAACTGCAAGAAATTACTATAAAACACTATCAGAAAGAAAAACTATAACGATAACGATAACGATAACGATAAGAGAAGCCAACGTTAATCTATGCAATTATCGTCGCGTTCAACTACATCAGGTTTCTAAGCAAGTGGCGCGTTTTGGATAAGCTGCCACTGCCACAGCCAAGCCGCCAAGATGACCATGTGGCAGAGTGGCGGCATGGGAGGCCATGGCTCCCAAAACAATCCATGGATGAAACTGATGGGCATCGTGCACAAGGAGCGCCGACACACGGACAATGTGCAAAGCCAGAGCGGCTCCAACGAACGGAATCTGAATCAGTAAGTTTTTAACATTTATCGATTTGTTGTCGAATGCTTTAAGAAATAACATTCATTTAAAATTGTACTATATTCGAGCGTTTGAACCATGAACTTGATCTATCTTTAACCATTTTATAAGGGCACTCGCCCAACAAACTCAGAACTATGTGCGAATCGATAATTTATCGATTTTCAAAACGTTTGCGGATAGCAAAGAAAAATTAATAAAATAATGTTAGTGTTTAAAGGAAGGGAGAGATGGGGAGACAAAATAGAACGAGGGAGAGTTAGCCAGAAAGCGAGAGATGGAGTGAGATACACAAAGGAAGAGAAGTAGAGAGCAAGAGACATATATAAATATATATATATATATATATATATATGAAAAATGATTTGAAACGAGCTTCAATTTAATGGACTGCATGTGCAGAGGGAGAGGAGGGGGGTCAAATTGGTAAAGCCAGTCAAGCTGTTTTCCTTGGCATTTGGCCAGATTTTCGTGATATATTCAAAGCTGCATAAATCAAAATACGTGCACACTATCACACACACACGAACGGTCACACTGCAATTGCTAATTCAATTAAGCCAAAATGGTCGACAGATAGCGCTTAATTAGTCACAGATTGAAAGAGCGTTAATTGATTAAGTTGGCAGCCGGAAAACGAGCATTTAAAATGTCACTCAAACAATCCTATTTTTATATAGAAAATATATAAATTTTTAAAAGCCAACCTGTCCTGGACAAATCACTTTTAATTTATTTGATGGACTCAAATATATTTTACGATTTTATGCTAATCGAAGCTGCAGTAGAATTTAGTTACAATTGAGCTGGACGTAGATCGTCATTTTGCTGGTTAAATAAAATGCTCGAAAAACTTTTTTTTGACTCGAAACCTCAGCTGCCTCCCACAGACAGACATACGGCTGTGCTTCTCATCGCCCCACGATATATAAGAAATGCACTCTTGCATAACTTCGGTATTTATAGTCCGATTTCTATAAGATTTTCAGTGCTTAGATATGGCAAACACAGGTGTGCATATTCCAAAGCGCAAGCTGCTACCTATATAACTTTAGACTTTGCTCATTTTGTGGCGAAAAGTCGGGAGGTATTTTGATTAAGGCAATATTCAGGATGCTATATTTGGAGTCTCTAGTTCTTCTAAGTTCTGAGTTATGTTTAGAAAACGGAATTTTATATAGATTTTAATCGATTTCTTGGAAGCTAGGCAATTTATCGATGAAAGGCAACATGAAGATATCTCATCTGAAATGCGATGTATTTGAACATACGCAGAGACGGATAAATCTGGCCGGATCAACCTGGTTGTTAAGTTTGATCAAGAATATATACACCTTATGTGCTTGTGAGTGTTTTCTATCACCTAATACATACATTTGCAGAAAACCAAAATACCCTTAACGCTTAACCCATTGAATGAGGGTATCAAAAGAAAAGTAAGAATCTAGTAGTCGGGTGCAACCGACTATCCTTTTCTTACGATCTTTAGAGAAACTTTTTAGTAGTTTCCATTCCAAATTAATAAACATTGTTCTCTACTTATATATATATTATATAATTAATTTCCTTCCCATTTGACCTATTCGTCTCAGGTGTGCACAATAACTGTAACGCACGTAGCCCTGGGCAGAGCGTCCCATATAATAGAATTTTTTAGGGAGATGGTTTGCTTTGGCTTGACTCCAAGCTGGGCGCACATCCGATGGGTCGAAGTGTGCGTCTTGCATCAACTGGATTATATTCAGACCATGAGTGAGCTCTTAGAATGTGAAATATATTAATCCCCTCAACTTGTAAGAGCTAACCGAATTATTTACGGAATTTCATGTTGAAATCAAATTAATTTAATGGGGATGCGAATGATGGAAATGCAATGCACTTCGATTACAATCAAATTGTGGCCATAAAGCTGCGGCATTCGTTCTAGGAATGGCGGAATTCGTAATTCGATGAACTTGTAATCAATTCCGTCAGCTGCTTGTCTCGCTGATTACCGAAAAGGCATCGGAAAATGCGAAAAACATGTGCAAATCCAGTGGGTAAAGGCAGTTGGGAAATTGCGCACGCAATTACAAAGGCAAACACAGTTGGTGGGCGTGGTAGAGGGGGGGGGGAGCAGGCTGAAGAAATGGATTTGTCGCAATTTCAGTAAGGAACGAAAAAATGCAAATTGTCAGACATGCAACACAAACGGAGGCTGCAATGCCGAAATGTATGTGGCACGCACATGAGGCACATGTAAAACGGAATTGAAATGTGGCAAAATGTTGTTGGCAAGAGTTGCCCACGGCCAGGAGGAGCACGGCTGCAGAGTCAATTTTTGGTTGGGCACAAAAGCACAAAGCAATCAATGAGAGTAGACTCAACAGTGGGCGGCAAGGGGGCGTGGCTGGAGTGGTAAGTCGACGTGGGTGACAGTTGCCATGAAATGCGCTCGACGCCGAGCAGCGACAGCCGGATAGTCAGCCAGTCAGTCAGCCAGTCAGTCATTCAATCAGTCAGTCAGTCAGTCAGTCGGACAGATTCAGCCTGCTTTGAGCCGAGGCAAACAACTGACGAGTGCAGGCCGCAGCTGTGCGACAATTGCCGCTTGCAAATTGCGACAACCCCTCCTCTAATAGACTCCCCTTCACCACTCCTTCCAGACCCCTTTTCAGCTACGCCTCTGCACGCTCGGCTTGCAATCTCGCGCAGTTTCCGCTGGCTGCCTTTTGAATGTTGCCGCAGCTGCAGGAACTGAACTTGTTGCTGCAGCAGGAGGTAGCAGCAGGGCAGCGTCAGCAGTAGGCACCAATGGGGCGGGGGCTTGGTTTAGAAAGGGATGAGTTGGTGAAGTGCGGCAGGGGTGTGGGGTGCAGCCATAATTGATGAAGCAGACGAGGATAATGTCAACATTATTGCAGCTAATTGCAGACGTTTCTGTCAATGGATGGCCCGGGCTGCGCCGCCGGCTGCAGTCAGGCAATCGCTTCGTGCAGCTCATTAAGGTCAGCTGGAATTGCTAAATCTAGTCGAGAACAGTTCGCCGATTGAGTTGAGTGCACAATGTCAGCAAAAACTATCAGCATTACAGTTTTTGTTCCTAGCAGCAGGAGCATCTACTTAACAAGATTTGCAGCAGGACTTCAATTTTATTATAAAAATTCACGCTGCGCTGACTTGGAAGGCAGCCGGCAGGTCGGGTCGGTTATTTAAATGCTGAAAAGCTTCAACATAATTAGCGCATGTTTTGACATCCAAAAAAATACCATTATTATACAGCTTTTCAGCTAACGAAGGTTCGCGAACTTTCGTGTGCTGCACTCGCTCGAGCTCTGCAGCAATTTTGAGTTCTGCATTTTACACTAATAACAATTCCATTTAAAAGTTATTGAACTTTATTATTTTTTTAAATATATTTTTACACAAGAGAGTGCAAACTTTATCTTTTTGCGCTAAAAGTCAAACCAAAATGGAAAGAATTTTGGAAACTGTTGATGCTTCCCATCTCCGAGTCCTCAGTTAACGTCCATACCAAACTTTAAGCTTCCATAACTTGGATAAAGCAGAAGATTTAATTGAAGGAGTGCATTTTGTTCAAATGTGTTCTGAGGGGTTCAAATTATCAGTAAAAAATTATGCCAGAAATGCAAACATTGCGATTTGTAAATGTCACCCTTCTATAATCTATAGTCCATGCTAGAGACCCCTAGTTAAGTTCGAGCTTCCATATCTTAAACAAACTAATTTATTTATCATTTTTATGAAATGGGACACTTTACATATTTTGTAAATTTAAAAAAAGTAAAAGAAATATTCTAGGGAAGTTAATTTTTCAGTCAAAAATCAAGCAAAAAATGCCAAAAATTTCGACTTGTAAATTTTTTACGTCTCCAGTCTTCAGTCCCTGCCAAAGGCCCCGATTAAGCCAGAAACTTCGATAACTTGGGCAAAACTAAACCAATTTTGATGAACGAATGCTTTTTGTTTATGGTTTGTGCTCCAGATTCCGAGAAGTTAAATAAGATGGGCAATAAAAGCAAGTCAAGCAAATTAAATGTTTCTGACAAAATTTTTGGAGAAAATATCATGTATTACCCATGCTCAACCCTTGTTGAGTCTTGTAGTCTTCTTTTCTGCAGGACTACTAGAATTTTGATTGCTGTAAGACTTTTTTATAAGCCTCCATTAAGCCCTGCTCTCCTTAAACTGAACTGTGAACTTATGTTGTCTAAAATATATATAAAATGACATTTTATTCCAAAGAATAATTATTTCTGCTTCGGGCGAAAGCCAAGAATAGACGCTAAGATATGGAATTCCTTTGAGGTATATTTGATATATAACTGCTACAATTCCAGAATTGTCTCCAGCTACAAATATAATTGTCTCTCTATATAGAACTCGTGGGGAATAAATGTTGTTTGTCGCACTCTTCACTCAGAGCCTGCCACTTTTTTGTTTTAGTTAACCTACCCTAGCTTGAGCTATGATTATCGCAACGATGTGAGGGCCCGGTTTTGATTGATTGTGTCGACTGAGTCGCATTATTGTCTACTGAGACATTTGTTTGTGTTTGTCAAGCTGTGATTTCTGTCTGCTTTTGTTTGTCTGTTGTCACAAATTAACATTTCGCACCTTGCAGTTGATCAGATCGCGTATTACGATATGTATTATTTCATTGCGTATTCAATTACGAGTTGCTTATGAGAAATACAAGCGTTGATATTACTATTTGAGCATGTGTAACAGGTAAATATGTGAAGGTATGAAAATCAAATGGGCACGTAATTAAAATACGAAATGCACTCTAACACAGAGAAGTGTGAAATATTGTTGGCTAAGCAAAATTTTAATCACATTTCCGAATATGCAAACCGACTTTCCAGTCTATATTTGAATATTTAAGCGTTCTCTTAATAGCCGTAGGGCATTTTTATATCCCGAACCTATTTTATAGTGTTAAAGGGGAAATAACAACTTGATGCAAAGGTGTGTGTCAAGCAGAAGAGGGCTTCTTCGTGCCCATCAAACATATGTCTATGTCTGTCAGTATGTCTATGTCAGTAGAGACAGTGGAATGTTAGCTTCTCATAGCCTTGGATTTTGGTATTTACACACATTTATATGGCATATATGGGCCCTGAAAACACAATTAAGATCAGACAGCAAACATCGAAGTTATTCCATAATGGATGTCCTATATATAGCAAAAGAAGAAGCCGGGCCACTACGTGAAATCTGAAGCAAATGGTGTGCGTCTGGGTGTGAGTGTGTGCGTCTGGGTGTGAGTGTATTTTCAAATATATTTGGCCAAGCTAGACAGCAATCGCTTAAGGGGAAATCTCCAAGTCGTCCACCCTCAAACAGAAGCTCTCATCTATTCTAATACATTTCATTTTCTACCCAAAAACGTTTCAAATTATTCTAAGATTTTCTTAGATCAAGATAGAATCTACCCTGCGGACCTTTTTATAACCCCAAAAAGTAAATAAATACTTTTTTGAAATCGATTTTGGAGACTGTGAAACGAATTTCATTTGTCTTAAACACATTCGCAGCTGCATATCAAATTTTCTAGTTCTAGTTCCAAGACTCACGGAGTTCCAATTGCCACTTTGTATTAGATTAAGCCAAGCCCAAGCAGCTAATTAGCACATTACAGAAGCTAATTAATAGACATATATAGGAAAAGTGTGTGGTAAAAAAAAAAAGAACAATTTAGCATTTATTTTGTGAAACACTTGACTTAAATATTATCGGTAACCAGACGATGCTCATTGTAGCGTATAGGATATGTGAGTGCATTGCCCTTGTCCCAAGAGTAGAGTTCCTGAAAGGATGGCAAGCAACAAAAAGTGCTTCAAAGTAAATGCGGAGAAGAGATTTCCGAGAGATTATATACGTACCACAGTGAGGGGATTGTAGCCGACTGTAGTCGTATAGCTGAATGGATTGGAGAAGGGAAGATTTGCGTTGAGCAGTTTGCCTTTGTAGAGATCGACCACGTAGCGTATTTGGGTATTTTTATCGGTGCCCGAATCGATGGCATACAAATTGCCGCAGACAATGAACATTTCGCCAAATTGCTTGTGATCGAGTGTTATATTGAAATTGTATTGCATTCTCAGGGTCTCGGCATCCAGCTAAAATCGCATAGATAAAGCCAAGTTAAAGAAAGTAGTCGAAAGTATTTCCTCGCGAGTTACCTTAGCTACCAGCGTATTGTTGGAGTCGTGTGTGCTGTATATGACCCAGAGACCGACCTCATCCACATTAAAGTCCATGAAATTATAATCCGTTGCGTACAGCCGATTGCCAGCAGCGACTCCCGCATAGGGCAGCTGTATGCCTGTATTGCAAAGTGTTTAGGATCTAAATATAACAAGTATTTCTGTAGCTAGCACTCACTGATCTTCTTGGAGGTCGTCAAGTCTAGCTTGACAACCAAATCGGAATTCTTCTGCTGATAGTAGAACGAACCATTATAAACCACATGCGCATTGCCCTGGAAATAGCCAAACTTTAGTGTGTTATGCGTGTCCTGCGAAGTTGAGTTAACGCACCTGAAAGCCCTCGGATATTTCATACTTGTGCCTGGGCACACTGTTCATGCGGTATTGTATGCGCGTGGAGAACTCGAACAGATTGTAGGCATCATTCTCGTTGGTCACAAACGTCTTCTCCCGATCCGCTTCTCTAGGCGCCGCATCACGCAGCCACGAACCAAATTTCTCATTGACAACCTTGTGGAACACGGGCTTACCCACCGCATACAGATAGCAGGCTGCAGGAGTAGCACGAGATATGCAGGATATGCGGCTATATGTTATTTAATCAATGTAAAACTTACTCTTGGCACGCTTGGGCAAACCCGGATAGCTGCGGTTGCCCGTGGGCTGTATCTCAAAGTTGTTGAGTATGGAATCCTTGCATTGATACAAGCTAAAGGAATTGGAATTTAGTCAGCTCGTTGGTTTTGGCTAGCGGGCAGAGCTCACCTGGGATCTGGACACTGATCACAAACGGGGCACTCACTTTCGGGCGGTCGCTGGCCATAGACCTTGACATTGTTGCCCACATAGGGCGTCTCACTATTCGGATCCTGCGCTATAATACCGAAAGAGAGTGCTGTCAATAATCAATCATGATTAGCTTAGATCTAGATCTATTTACGTGCTATCTCAAAGTTGACCATGGTCGCATTCAGCTCATTGCGTGCCACACAGTGATAGTAGCCAAAGTCATCCTTGCGCAGATTGCTTATGGTCAGGCGCATGGAGGTCTTGAAGCTGTGGCAGAGCAGTTCATTAAAGGGCTTTGGATAGGTTCAATCACGGTACTCACCCGTCTGGATATGATTCAATGCGATACTTATCACTTGGATCGAGAATCTTGCCATCGTAGGCGCGCTCCCAGTAGCGTATGGCCTCCGGGAAGGCCTCCACCTGGCATTCCAGTGTTGCGCTACTCTGGTACTCCGCATAGATCATTTGCCGGTACACAGATATCATGGGCGCAACTGAAATTGATCAATGTCGGAAAATGGGCCGAAGCCGATTGCACAATCTATTAGAATAATCAGACTTTTTTTTTGCCGAACTCACAGTGCACCTCCACCAGGAACGTGGCATTGGCAACGGGCGCGATGCCATTGTTCGCATGGCACGTATAGGCCGCCATCTGATGACGCGTGATGTTCGTAAACTTGATGAACTGGCCACTGATCGAGCTGACTGTGGAAAGACAAGCAATGTTAACGAGCTGGCCTGTGGCCAAAGTCTGTTTCGATTTGCCACTCACGCTCGATGCCATTCACGTTGATGGTGCGTCCATCTTCGCGTCGCCATTCCACCTGCGGCTGGGGATTGCCTGTCGCCGAGCAGCTCATGTTGAGCGTCTTGCCCTCCTCCACGATGACGTTGCGCCGATAGTTTGGCGCCTTCAGATCTGCGCGCGATGAAGGCTTAGCTCAACTCTGGGCAAGACTCGGTTCACTCACCTGTTATGGAGGGTGGTATGAGCAGATCATTGGAGGCGCTGCCATTGGGGTATTGCATCTTCCAGGTGTTGATGCCCGGCACGCCGGGTGTGCCATTAGTGCCCGGCTTGCCAGGACGTCCGCGTGGCCCAGCAATGCCTGTGCTTGAGCAGGGTCGAATTGGTTTGGAAGCTATTTGACAGCTTTGTGAATGTTACTCACCCTTTAGGCCTCTTTCACCGGGTGGACCTTGTGCACCCTTGGGGCCTGTTATAGACATGCCATCCTTGCCGTCGTTACCATTTAGGCCATCCTTGCCATCGCGTCCTGGCAGCCCGTTTTTGCCATCGGCGCCCGCACGTCCCGGCACCCCATCGAGGCCCGGCTCACCGGGCACACCGTCTCGCCCATCCAGGCCAGCACGCCCGACGGCGCCGGGATCGCCCTTGGGGCCACGTGGACCCGTTGCGCCCTGTTGGCCCACACCGTCGACGCCCGGTGCGCCCGGCAAGCCGACATCGCCGCGATTGCCCTTGGGACCAGGAATGCCCGGCAGGCCGGGATTACCGGTTGGTCCCTTGGGTCCAATCGGGCCCATTGGCCCGGCCGGCGCTGGCGGGCAATAATCCTGTGTGCCCTTGCAAAAGCCGGTAATTATCTTCTCCGGCACACGGCAATACGTATTCAAATAGATCCAATCATCGCCGCCCGGTGCGGCGCCCTTCAAGCCCGTGCGCTTGCGTATCTCCGTGTCCTGCTCCTCCAGGGCCTTACGATGATTCGGATTGAAGAACTCGATCAACGGATCTGCTGCAATTAGAATAACATATCTTGAAGTTCGCTGCAGCTGAACTAGTTCCGTGTCTGCTGTGCAACACTTGCCGTGCATGGAGGCCGGCGACGACGAGGCGATGTCTCTCCGGACGCGCTTTCCATTTGGCAAATGGGTCAGGAAGTTGTTGTTCAGCTTGCGCTCGTTCCGGACAACGCTGCTCGGCTGCGCCGTTGTTGGACCGTAATGTGTCTGGAGTGGACTGTAAAGTAAACGGAACTAAACTCTGTACTGGAGCTGGAACTAGTAGGTGTGCAAAGGAATTTAATTGCGTTCGCAGCTTGAATTCAAATACAGATTCCACTGAAATCCTTAACGGAACTAGCTCGTAAATAGTTTATGATTCAGCTGTAACTGGAGCCTTGGAGCTGTAGCCGAAAAATGAACTCTGAACTTAAAAGTTAAATGTACTTTGAAGTGCTATCAAGATTTACAGGAAATATACAACTGGAACTTGGATTAAAGTACAATGTCAAATGAATCAAGACAATAAGAACTGGAACCATTTGAACCATTAGCACTGAAATTTGTGCTTATGAGCATTGTGAACGGAACCAGAATTGATTGAGCTTGAACGGGGAGAAGAATAAAAAACTCACCTCGCCTCCTGCGGATAATCCCTTTCCATGATCTGCGTAACCATGGCGCGCAGTACATGCTCCGAACGCATCAGTTCATCTTGGAACTTGTTCCGAAAGGCACTCTGACCCAGCATAGCCACGGTGGCCGACTCCTCGCCCGCCTGGCTATACGTATAGAAAAGTATGGACAACGTGGCCAGCATTAGAGTCAGCGCACCCAAATAAATATAGACCAGCACCAAGGAGCTGCCCAGCTCGCCGCTGCCCTCCAGCTTGTTGATGCAGTTGCAGCCGCATTTGCACGGCTGATGCACCAACCGCTGCTGATGCTGGCAGCTCTGGCACCTGGTCGCGAGCGATGTCGTGTCCGTGCTGGCGCTTCGACTTGTTCCCGTGCCAGGACTCCCTGCGGCGTTTGTCTCCTCCAGCAGCATATTGGCCACCAGCTGTGTGGTGGAATCTGTTAGCTCCCTGGAGGCGTTGCTATTTGCTCTCGCTGTTGCCGCATCCGCCTTCGCCTCCGCTTCCGCGGCGCGTTGCCGCTTTGAATTGTTCACACTCTGATTAACGGCCAGCAACATCTTGGCGCGCACCTGTTCGATCAGTTCAATTAAAAAGTTTCCGTTTTGATTTATGAGACACACGAGTGCAAGTAGCCCGCCTCCAAATAACAAATGGGAAACAAAAACAACAACAACAACAACAAAATAAAGTAAATATTATTTTTAGCACTTTCAAGTGGGCGCTCTATTTATACGAGCTGTCTACAGTTCCAAGCGTTCACATGGCGGCGCATTATTAAGCATTTAATCAAAGCCTTCTTTTCATATTTTCTTGTTATCTTGCTTTATTTTTCCGGCACTGATAGTTGTGCTGGGAAAACAACTAAAGTCAATAGTTTTTTTTTGTTTGTTTTTTGGAGGAGGGGTAAAATGCAAAATTCACAAGGCTTTCATTTAATTTCCGCCACACATCAATTCCCAATCTCTGGATATACATACGTATATATATATATATATTTATATAGCGATGCGATTTGTAGCGCTTTGAAGCGATGCGTTTAACAAGTTTTTCACACTTTCTGGCCACACTGTGGCGGTCAGCGTGTGCGTGTGAGCGAGAGAGAAAGAGAGAGAGAGAGTGAAACAGACAGACAGAGAGCGAGAGAGCGCGCCTTGAAGAGTCAAACCGAACGCGTTGGCGTCTAATTTCCGACTGAAACGTTTGTGTGCGACAATTTTCCAATGCGGCGCGTCTTTCGCCGGCTGTGCTAGTGTGTGTGTGTGACAGTGTGTGCGTGTGTGTATGTGTATGCTTTGTTTTTGTAAGAGAGCAACTTCAAAGAGAAAGCGCCAGCCAAAGAGTGAGCCTGCCAGCCACAGCTGAGAAATCAACAATCAGAAATCAACAAAAATAAATAAAATAAAAAAGCTAAATAAATTATAAAAAAAATTCCGATAAACATGTAAACAAATTTGAACACATAAAACCGACCATAAAATATATGCAACAGCAATAGCTTTCGGTGGCAAAGAGCACAACAATGTGACCAGAGCCTTTGCCATTTGCCCTAACTCTTCCTAGGCAGACGCATGCGTCCTGCTGCCCAGCACTGCGACGGAGTGCATCCAGTTGGCCCTAAGTCTGGGAAAGTGTGCCATTCAGCGGCGGCATTTGAAAACAAGAAACAACAACTAGATGAAGAAGAAGCAGCAGAAGCAGACGCACATGTTCGCGCCTCCTTTTTCGAACAGATGAGTGGGCAAATGTTCTCTTCACATAATAATGCCATATCCTCAACAAGTTTGAGTGCGCCAATCGGAAGAGTACTCGTATTTATCGAGTTTTAGATTAATGTATTTGCAGTCAGCTGTCGATTTCCTTGAAGTACGTGCATTTATATATATATTGATATATATATTTATGTATTTATGGGAACATATAATTTAAATTTCATATATTTTTATTTATATAATATTTTATGTATAACATTCTTCATTGAAATTTTCCATTATGCCTTGCTATCCCCAGCCTTAGCCGGCTCAAGTTATTGCCTTGCAATTTTGTACATTATCTTTCCACCCATTTTCCGCCCGTGGATAATGTAAATTCTGGCCAAAACGATTTTCGGTCAGTGAATTTTTCGAAGCGTGTGTGCTGAGTTTGAACCAGCGACCTCTCCCTTCTCAGTCTGACGGTCAGGCAGCTCAGCCACGCAGACTTCAGAAATATTTGTGAAAATCTTCAAAATCGTCAAATACTGAATACTGTTGTATTAGGCTTTACGAATGGAATTCAACCTACTTCACATAAAGAAGCTATTAAACCAAATTTACCCTTGCTGCCAGTTTCGAGCTGTTGAAGAAATCTATCATACCCATTCATTCAATGCGTACAGGGTATAATAGATTCATGAAACAAATTTGAACTTGAAATCCTTGCGCCCGACTAAGCATTAGGCGGGCATTCCGATTTGCTCAGCTCTTCATTCACAATTGTTTGCATAGGTACAATAGGGAAACAGAGGAAGAGGAAGTGCTTGAGCTAGGAGCAGCAAGAAGAAGGAGAAGACGTTGTAGAAGATAATCAGCAGTTGACACTTTCAGTTCCTAGATTTGTTTTGTTTTTACAATTTATTTTCCTAAATAAACCCCAATTCAACTTTTGCAAAGTTGAATGCAATTGCCGCCCTCTCTCTGCTGGCCACCCTGCGACCACCCCCCACTTGGCCGTGAAGCTGTAAGTAGTTTGCACTTCATTTGCATTTGCAGGGCCAAATCGGTTTGTGAATTCAATTTCCATTAGTCTCAGATGCACACACAAAGCACGGCCAAAGTCAATGAGACGGAACGAGCTCGTTAAATCAGCGACAACAACAGCAGCAACAGCAGCAGCAATTTATTTGGTTTGTAGTTATGATACATAAGCATAAGAGGCAGGTTCTTAGTCGCTTTTAAAGCGAGTGGCCAAAATGTTCAAGCATATCAGCTAAGCTGCAGGACAAAGAAGACGACATCGCAAAGGTAACAGTGGCAACAGCAGCAGCAACAACGGCAACAGCAACAGCAACAGCAGCAATAGCTACAGCAGCAACAATAGCAAAAGCATAAACAACAACAGCAGCAACGGCAGCAGCAACAACAGCAACAGTAACAACAACAGCAACCACACCAGCAGCAATAGCAGCAACAATAACAGCAGCAACAACATAAGCAACCACAGCAGCAACAACATCAGCAACAACATCAGCAACAACATCAGCAACAACAGCAGCAACAGCAACAATAGCTACAGCAGCAGCTATAGCAAAAGCATAAACAACAGCAGCAGCAGCAGCAATCACAGCAGCAACAACAGCAGCACCAACACCACCAGCAACAACAACAACAGCAATTTGCCAGTTGCTAAGACGCAATTTGGCAACAGAATCAGCTTGCGACTGGATTCACTGCCAATAAGCCGATTATGCTTATGCCAAGCAACAAGCCACAGCAGCAGCAACAGCAGCAGCAACAGCAACAGCCGTGTCGGCAAAAGTCTCCAGCAATATAAATCAAAATGTCAAGACGTTGCTTTCGCCTAAAAGTTGCTGTAAACGAAATAAAAGGAAATAACCTTGTCGTGTCGCAGATTAAATGCCCTCGCGAGCGTATTGCAAGAGCATGGCAGAGATTTATATGAAGTTATATTCGCTAAGGTCTTAGAAGGAGCAGCAGCTATGCAGTGCAAAGGTCGAACCAACCCTCAAACTCGTTACACATAATAACTTAAGAGGTAAACAGCTTGAGCTTGGTCTGTTATATTTAGCTAACGTGTTGGAAGACATTTATTCCAACCTGGTTTTACGGGTTATTGCAGAATTATATAGTTCCTATATAAGTTATATGCCATAGCAGAGCGATGTTTATAAGATTATGCTCATGGAATATATTTTTATATTTTTATAAGTGGAAATAGGTTTAAAGGGTATATAGGGCTTGTGCAAATGGCAGAAGGAAGCGTATCCGATCCCTAAAGGAATATATATACTCTTGGTCAGCATCAATAGACGAGTCGATCTAGCCCTGTCCGTCTGAACGTCTGTCCGTCCATCCCTCCATCCTTCTGTTTGTCCGTCTAACCGTCTATCTGTCTGTCTGTCCGTATGTCCGTCTCTCCGTCCGTCCATATGTATGAACGCGACGATCTCAGCACCCATCTAAGAGCTAGGACTTGAGTGCGGGGCCTCCGGGCAGTATGAATTTGTTTCCGATAATCGAAAGCTTTGACCCGTTTCCTAGCAATTGTTGAGAATGCTTTAGGAAATTTTGAAAACAAACTAGTTTTTCAAGCAAGAACCTAATTTTCACTCCCAAGGCAGCTATATAGTACTCCTCTCCAGAAATTCCGGCAGTTCCTATGTCAGCTATATGATATAGAAATGCGATCCACTGGTTATGGTTACATATAATGCTTTGCGATGGATTCAAGACAACTCTACTGGACTAGTTCGCATAGTTGATTAGTTAGGATGGACTAAAGTGATGTATGTTTCTGCTATATTGACTGGGCGGCAGCAAGAGCCGACATCCCTGTCGGCGGTACAATGTGGCGTATGAGCAATGCGAGTGCAAGGGAAATTAACAAAAGGATTTAACGACTGCGCCAGGCGCTCGCTCAACTTGGCTTTTATGACGCCAGCAACAGCAGTTGGAGTAGGAGCAGTAGCAGAAGCAGTACGCACCTGTGCAAAACTAGAAATGAAACTGAAAATGTCACTTGAGACGCTTTTTTATGCGCTCACTTTCAGAATATCCAATGTGAGAACTTCAGTTTTCATTTCTCAAGTCGTGTTCTTTATGGCCCCAGTCAAGTTTTTAATTAATTTCCGGCTATTACTTTTTACAGAATCGTTAAACTAATGCGAAAGTTAAAGCATTTAATAAGTTTGGTGCTCGGTGCTCGACTTAAGTAGAGTCTGGTAAAGGTCTAAAGGTCTTGCTGAGGCATGGTATACCTGGGAATTCAGTGGGTTCTTTTGCTAGGATTACCCATAGAGTGCTAAAGCTCAGCTGTGTTCTCAATCTCGATCTGGTCAATCTAGCCAAGTCTGTCTATCCGTCCGTCTGTATTTATAAACGTGTCGATTTCAGAACCTCTAAGAGCTAGAGACTTGACCGTAGGTCTTCTTAGTTCCCGTGCAGTACGGGCTTATTTCCGATAATCGATTAAGTTAGCCGCTTGCAAGCAATCGATTAAACTTGATATCGATAGCCTGTTTTTTTGGAAAATATATGAAAAGCAAAATATTTTAATACTATTTAATACAACAACAAACAAGCGACAACTTTTAACTGTTAACACTTTGCAATACTTTCTTGATTGAAGATTAATGCAGCAACAGCTGAAAGAAAATGGTTCTGAAATAATTTTTTATTTCTACTGCTGATCCATTTTAAATTTCTATGGCAGTTAATTTTGCGCAAAATTTAAAATATCTTTTAAGTGGGAAATTAAATTTAATTAATTGAAAATTGCTCGAGTTTCGTTTGAAATTGTTTACCAGTCGAATTAAATGGCAAAGCCTTTAATGGACCACGCCTCGAAGGGCATTCCG